AGAGATCGAATATTTTAGAACAGTAAGTAGGCACTGCTAGGGAGCTCCCTCTCTGACCCCGTGGTCATGAAGAGACCCTTGACATAGAGTCCTTGCCTTGCATTTTGGAAGATGACTTCTTGGTACCTGAGAAAATCGACAGTTAGAAATTGTAAGATTCATTTAGGCGGGGACTCAGAAGGATAGAGGGTGAAATGGCTCCAAGGATGGGACTGGCTTCTGGGTCCTTAGAAACAGAATGAGCTTATGCCCCTCAGGGGTGTGTGTGTGTGTGTGTGTGTGTGTGTGTGTGTGTGTGTGTGTATGTGTGTGTGTTTTACATGCTGTTGAGTCAGCTCTGATTCCTGGTGACCCTGTGAATGAGTGATGTCTATAACGTTCTGTCCTTGACAGCCCTGCTCAGCTGCTATAGATTCATGCCTATGGCTTCTTTTATGGAGTCAATGTCTCATGTTTGGTCTTCCTCTTTTCCTGCTGCCTTCTATTTTCCCAGCATTACTGTCTTTTCCAAAGAACCCTGACTTCTCATGATATGCCCGAAGTAGGACAGCTTCAGTTTTGTCATTTTTGCTTCCAGGGATGTTTCAAGCTTCATTTGCTCTAGGACCCACTTGTTCATTCTTCTGGGGGCCCAGGGTATCTGTAGAGTTAAGCATATTTCTAATGAATCAATTTTTTTCCTATTAGCCTTCTTTTCTGTCCAATTTTCTCATTTGTACATAGTAATTGGGAATACAAGAGTGTGGAGGATCTTAGCCTTGGTCTCTAATGACACTTCTTTTCTCTTGATGATATTTCTGAGTTTTTCCAGTTGTCCTTGCCTCATAGTGATTAGTATTTGCATGATCTCTGGAGAAGCGCTGCAGGAATAATTGATTGATTGATTGATTGATTGATTGATTGATTGACTTGCTGAAGGGTCTGAGAGGGCTACAGAAATACAAGGTAAATTGATAAAGAGTTGAGTAAGGTGTTCTAGTTATCTTTTGCTGTTTAACAAACTATTACAAAACTTAATGGCTTGCCCTAGCTGGTTTGGCTCAGTGGTTAGAGTATTTTCTCGCAGACTGAAGGGTCCCAGGTTTGATTCTGGCCAAGGACATGTACCTGGGCTGCATGCTCCATTCCCGGCCCACTGGGGCTCGTGTAGGAGGCAACAAATCGATGTCTCTCTCACATTGATGTTTCTCTCTCTCTCTCTCCCTTCCACTCTCTCTGAAAAGCAATGGAAAAAATATCCTCGGGTGAGGATTGAAGAAACAAAACAAAACAAAACAAATTTAATGGCTTAATAAAAATAATTTATTCTTTCTAATGTTTCTGTGGGTTGGCTGGGTGCTTCCTTGGCTGGTTCTACCTGAACTTACTCCTGGATTCATCCAGCTTGAGGGTCAGCTAGGCTGGAACGTTCGAGATGACCCCCTTCACCCGCCTGGCTGTTGGTACTGGCTGTGGCCTGCGCCCCTTTGGTTCTCCACTGTGGCCTTTCACCCTCCAGTGGGCTAGACTGACTTCCTTAGGCGGTGGTCTGAAGGTGCCTTCCAAGAAAGTAAAAGTGGAAGCTTCAAGGCCTCTTAAGGCCTAGGACTGAAGGTCACACACTTTTACCTCTGCCCTTTCCATTGATCAAAGCAAATCAGAGTCAACAAACATGGAGCAGTTACACAAGGGCATGGAGACAGGGAGGTGGGATTCATCGGACCATTTTGTAATGATCTGCCACATCCAGTGAAAGAAGAGCACAGGTTACAATAAAAATCAGATTAGCCTGTCTGTGGCGGTGAGAGACGATATTGCAGAGGTAAGGAGCACAGCCCAGAAGCAGGCTGCCTGGACGAACCCCAGCTCTGCCACCTCCTAGTTAATATGACCTTGAGGAAATCACACAGCCAGGCTGTGTTCCGGGGCCCTCCTCTGCTCAGTGAGGTAATGAGAGCACCTGTCTTGGAGGCTGGTGATGAGTTTAAAGTGAGCTCGTACCAGCACCAGTATCAAGCTCAGCACACACACAGTAAACACTCAAATAGATATTAGCTCTTAGTATTCATTTTACTCCTCTGTAATGGCAGGTGAGGCACACATTTGGCTTTAAGTTGTTCAGTTCCAAGGCAAAGAGGGGAAAACACTCAGGTGTAAGATTCATAGTGTGCTTAAGCGGAGAAAAATTGCTTCTGAAGAAGCTGCGCTGTGTGGAATGAGCAAGTACGTGTTTTGCTGCAGCAATTTGGGGTAGTTTGCAAAGTGACTGACCTAGAAAAACTTCACACTATAAAAATAAACATATTTTTCCCCAAGAGCAAATGATTAGAGGCAGGACTGTCTAGAGGTTAGCAAGACAGGCTTGATTCTCAGAAGCCCTTGACTGGAACCCCAGTCCTCCTCTTCCCAGCGTGAGTGAACTTGACAACTGATGGATCTCTCCCACGCTCACCTTCCTTGTGTACAGAACAGGAATCATAATAGTGTGCACCTCGCACAGAGGCAGAAACTCGGCAAGCAAAGCCTTGGTCTGTCGCCTGGCACGTGCTACTCACTGAATATTTGCTTTGGCTGTTATTAGTTTAAAGATGGTTGTAAGGGAGGTTTTCTCTCCGTTGGAAGACAAACTCTCTGTGCTCTTCCCAAACTGTTAGTGCTATTATTATAAACCTTCCCAGCCTCTCTCGGAGGGACACCAGACTTGTAGGGACTGTCATAAAATATTAAGCATGCAAACAAACAAATAAAAGGGTAGTAAACCCTGCATTTAACCTTCTCTCTAATTCCGCGCCAGCCCCCATTTTTCCAAATTACGAGCTCGCTCATTGGCATGGTTTCTGCTCTCTGTTGAACTGGTGCAGCCTCTATGGAAGCTGGCTGTAAGCATTTCAGAGCAGCCTTTAGGGACTTCCTGAAATTTGTCGGTGGCCCCCAAAAGGCTGTCCCCACCTCTTCTGAGATGGCTCCTCTCCCCATTTCCACAGGCTCGGGCTCCCCAGTGCTGTGAGGCCAGGTTCATCCCTGGCTCTGCCCCTTGGGGAGCTCCCCCCCCCCCTTTGCCTGGCCTTCAGCCTGATTCATGGCTTCTGAATGTTGGCCTGGAAGATCTTAGCTTAAAGCCTCTGTCAGAGGTTGTCGCGCCACCAAACGCGGTGCCAGTCAAAAACCCTTTTCCTTTGGTTTTGCTCCTCTGTCTCCTTTTCTGTGGCATGAAATATGAGGTAGGAAAATATGCCTACCACGTTGGGGTTGGGGAGCTGTTGAAAAACTCTTGCGTAATCCCCTGGAAGGTGCCGTGGCTCCATCCCAGCCAGGGGCTCCAGTGAAACCTCTGGTCTCCAGGCCAGGTTTCACCCATCGGCCTCTGTCTCTTTCCTAAGCTGCCTCTAGAGGCTGTGCCGGTGGGAGCTGCAGGTGGGTTCAGAATCCCTAGTCTAATGCCTGTCTACTGTGGAAAACTCCTGCTCCTCCTGCCAAGGGGATTCTGTTTAACTTTGCTGTGTTTGCATTATGAAAACAAAAATTTTTTTTCACTTTGCAAATTCAAAATTATGTTTTAATAGTGACTGAGTTATATAGCCTGACCTTCAGATATTCTCATGCCCCTAAGGAAATATTCCCCTGCCCCTGCTGTGAGAGTCAGGCCACAGCATCCCTCCTTGGAGGGAGGCAGTTGTTTCCCCATCATCTGATGTCTCTCCAAGGCAGTGTTGAGCTGCTCTGCGTCTCTGTGCACGCGGACAGTTTAAACATCTGCACTGTTCATATGAGTGTCATTGACCCAGCCATTATTTCAGAGGGGTTGGTTCCTTCAGAGTTGAGTTTGTTATTTTGATCATTTGTCTGGTTGGTCAGTGAGTAGCTTGAGTCTCCAGGCTGCTGATACCAAATTCCTCGCCCTGAGAATGCTATTTTTGTAATACACTGTGAACATTTCACGGCATGCTCAAGACTGTATTCCTGTCATTTTCCTCAAGAGGAAAGTTCTGGAATAATGCCCATGAAAAAAATAAAGTAATAAGGTAAACAAACAATTAGATAAAAAATAATAGTATGGGTTTATGATATGATCCCTTTTATTGTAAAATATAAGTAGGGCATATGCATTTGCATGTGTGTATGCATAAAAAAAGATCTAGGGAAGGTAGCATTTAAATGGTGGGGTTATGGGTTTTTAAAAATTTCTTTATAACAAGAGAAGAAGCCCAGTGCTATTTATTTTTAATAAGTACAAGACAAAACACAGCCCAACAACAATAACAGCATAAAAAGAAAACCAAGACAGGGAAGTGAGGTAGACTGACTACCTGGGTGGGATTTTCAGGCCAGTGGCTGTGTGGGTCCGAGGTCCTCTGATCTGGCCTTGCCTGGCACAGAACAGCACGCACTGCCTCAGCCTGGGCCTGGCTCCAAAGAAACAAAGTGTGGCTGTTCAGACACGTTCACATTCCCTGGGCCACTGAGTACAGACACCTTCCTGTGGGCCTGTTTCTCTCCCCCATTGGATGGAAGAAGTGTTGTGTAACAGGATCAAGTCCTTTCAGCTTCCTTTGTCCAGCTTAGTTGGAGGCTGGAGAGAGCGGGCTGGGGCCTTGTGTCTGCTCCTCTTGGGCACTGAGCATGGCTCCTGCTGAGGCTGGCGGCCCATGGCTCTGTCCTGCTGTGCCTGGGCTTGGGAGAGGATCCACACACAGGATTCCTGCATCAGCTCGTCAGCGCTCAGAGCCAGCAGACAGTGCAGCAGAAGGAACCACTCTGAAAACAGAAAATCACCCCTCCTACTCCCGGGCAAACCACTGCCCGGGTAAGGAGAGGCCCTGCAGTCCCAACTGGAACCTACTGGGTGTGACTGCTGAGGAACCCTAGCGGTGGAGAGGCCCACAGGGAGGCTCTGGACCTCCAGCCCCTCCCATGGGCCGGTGTGGGAGACACAGCTCTCCATGGTGATTCACCAACCAAGCCCTCAGTTCCTTGGGCCAGGCTGGGTCTTTAGTTACCACAGGCTGTGTCTTCTTTTGCAGAGAAAGTACACTCATGTGACCAGGAGAGGCAGAGTGCCCTGGAAGAGGCCCGGCAGAATCCCCGGGAGGGCATTGTCATCCCAGAGTGCGCCCCTGGGGGGCTCTATAAGCCAGTGCAGTGCCACCAGTCTACTGGCTACTGCTGGTGCGTCCTGGTGGACACAGGGCGCCCACTGCCTGGGACCTCCACACGGTAAGTCCCCCAAGCCTGCCCTGCCCCTCGGGTGGATCCTGGGACAAGGGAACCAGCTTCCTGTTGGGCTGGCCCCTGGCCCCTCTCAGTTTCCCTGTCTGGATAGGGGGAGTAGAGGCACTAGAAGAGCAGCGTTTCTGTTCACGGGCAGATGAGGTTCTGATAGGAACATCTGGGTCCTGGGTGCTGGGCGACCTTGGAAAAGTAGGTAACCTCTCTGAACCTCAGTTCACCGATGAGAAGGTTATTGCCCTGCCTGATTCACTAGGTTCTGTGGATCAAAAAACATCCCGTGTGCAGGCATAGGGTGATATCGCTATGCTTGAGTGATTGAGAGGACATGCCTGAACATGTCTCAGGGGGAACATGACGCTGGGGTTGCCTCGGAGCTCCTGGACGGTGCAGGAGGTACTTTACTGCCAGCCCTGGGAGCTCTAGGCTTCATGACAACACAGATCGTTGCTGGCGGCGGTGGTTAAAGTCCCTTCCTCACCCACCATCTCTCTCTCTTCCCAGCTATGTGATGCCCAGTTGCGAGAGCGACGCCAGGGCCAAGAGTACGGAGGTAGATGACCCCTTCAAGGACAGGGAGCTGCCAGGTGGGAGACGATGCTGCCGCTTGCTGGCACCTCACCTCTGTCTGTCCCCTCCCCGCGCCTCCCCCGCATCGTACAAAGTGCTCCCTCCGAGGGTCTGCTTCCCCGTCTGTGGGAGGGAGCAGGAGTGCTGGACAGGGGCCCCGCAGGAGCACAGACCCAGGAGCGGGGGGATCTGCATCCAGTCTGTTCCCTTGAGCACACTGTTCCTCCTCCTTGCCCTTACCTTTTTAATCTTTAAAATGTAGTCATTGGGTTAAATCCTGTCCCTGCAATTCTACGATTCCTTCTCCATCCTTGGTTATTGGGACAACGTTCTAGGCACTGTGAACCCTTTTTCCCAGGGCTGTGAAGAGAGGATCATTACAGGGAGGGCAGTCCTGGGGGATGTGGGCAGTGTCTGTCATCTGCCCTGCTGAGTACTTTAGCAATGATCTCTGATGGCCCAGGACTGTCACTGGGCTATGACACAAGACGCATAGGCAGGGGACCCAGGACTCTAAATGGCTTCTGTCTGGGTTTCCCCTTATTTATAGTGTTCTCTGCTAATGAGATGCAAGAAAAAATTACTCTATATTGGTTGGTGGCTTGAAACACTGTAGTCTTAATCAGCACCAACTTGGACCAGTGCTTGTGGGAGCTGGGGCCCCCTTTCCATTCCCTATCCCCGTTGCCCATCAGGACTCCAGAGTGAGAACTGAAAATAGAGGATCCTGAAGTTCTGGGGGTTTTCAGGTGAGGTATGTAGAAACCACCCTGTTACAAGAATGGAGTCGTGGAGGCCAGGTTACCTCCTTCTAGCCATCTCCTCAGCAAATGTGAGTTGGGATTCTCCTGTGCGCCAGGCACTGAGTATCATCTCATGATCAAAAGTGACATGAGGCTTACGTAGTGGAGGAGACAGAGACTGTACAAATAAGTGAGTACACACCTATACAAATAGCAGTGACGGGAACTCTGAAGGGAAAGAGCACAGTGCTGTGAGAAGGCAGGGAGAGTCCACCTCAGAGTCTGTGGCTTCTCTGAGGAGGGACAATTTCACCAGAAACCTGCAGGATTTGCAGAGAGCAGAGAATGAAATAGTCACCACAGAGGAGGACTGTGCAGGGAGGGTTGAGGGCCCACTGGGGGCTGGCAGTCATCTACAGGGACACACATCTGTCCAGTTGCGTGGTGGTGTGTACACCAGCAATACCGAGCTACATGGCTGTCGACTTGGAAAGGGCGTATCTGTGAAAAGGTTCATCCATACTTTGGGTCTTGCTGAAATAGCACAATGGAGGAAAATACCAAAGGATTTGAGAGCATCTATAAGGGAAATTTGATCACTACCATCTAAGTCAGACGAGAAGTGAAAAAAAGACGGAGGTTCTTGGATAGTTAAAATGGTAGGTCTCCTTGAGTCTACTTTGACCAAAGGGTGTTCCCTCTGCCCGTTGTGCCCCTTCAGCACCTGGTCTTTACCTGTAGAGACCACTGGGTCATACTACACCAGAACTAGCTAGAGTTCCCCAGTAGATTATGAACTTCACGAGGCCAGGGACCATGTAACCTGGTGTTATATCCCTAACATTTAGCACAGTGCCTGAGCTGACACACAGCACAAATTTGTGGAATAAAAGAAAACTGAAAGCATCACTATCCATTTAATCTGATGGTCCTTTGTGGGCCGCAGGTAGAGGAAATGGAGGTTTAAGAGAGTCATCTGAGCACTAAACAATTCCCAAAGTGGATTTGTTTGGACAAGAAAGACTTGGAGAGGTTTGGGAAACAGTGGTCAGCGAGGAAACTGTTCACCTGATTATTTACCTGGCATCGGCCTTCAAACCTCACCTTATTTTTCAGGCTGTCCGGAAGGGAAGAAAATGGAATTTATCACCAGCCTACTGGATGCCCTCACCACTGACATGGTGCAGGCCATTAACTCAGCAGCGCCCACTGGAGGTGGGAGGTGAGAATGTGAGCAGGACTTGGGCCCAGTGGAGAATGTGGAGCCCCTGACTACAGATGCTGTGGAGGCTGCGGTGGTGGGGAGGTAGGGAGAGGTTGAGTAGGGTCAGGGCTGGAAGTCAGTCCTTCTCCTGAGACTACTTTGTCCCACCTTCCACCAAAAATCTCCCTGCTCCTCTCCCCTCCCTGTTCTTTGTTGCTTGCTTCTAGCTTGTTGTTACCAGATTACAGGCAAGTCCAGGGGTGTCTGGAGACTTCCGGCACTTTGGTCTCAGAAGTCAATACATTGGAGTGATAGTCCTCAATGGCGGGAAAGGGGATAGGCATATGATGGAAACTGGGAGGGCAGGGAGGGAGTACAGAGCACTTAAGTTCTCTGCTCTTCTCAGAAGGAAGGAGCCATGCGCCTTTTTGGCTTCCCAAGAATCCCAAGGGGCTCTGAGCAGTGGGACTGGACACTCCCATAGCCAAAACCAACTTAGTTCAGAAGCTGATATGCTGGCTGAGGCAGTCCCAACATGAAGCTGCAATGCACATGCTCCTACTGACCAGCATCCGTGGTGTTCACTAATTTGGGCTTGTTAGGTCAGTTGGTTGGAACATATGTGCACCCATCCATTTGCTCAGCACCTGTTGAATATGCGTGGCATGCCAAGCACTGGGCTAAGGACTGGGAATCCAGGGATACGAGGCATGTCCCTGCCTTCAAAGAATGCAGCCTAGTGGGGATACTAGACAGATACTGACAGACTGTGTGGTAAATGCTAGAACAGAGGTGGGAGAACAGAGAAGGCTTTGCTAACTTGGCCTGGAGGGGTCAGGGAAGGCTTCCTGCAGGAGGTGATACCTGAGCTGAGTTTTGAAGGATAGGTAGGACTTAGCCAGTAAATGAAGGAAAGCCATTCCAGGAAAAAGGAGAGAACACTGTTACTCCAGAAAGTGCCTGCCTGTAGGTCAGTATGGCTGGGCTTGGGTGGATGGGATACGAGGGTAAGAGGAGGAGATGAGAGTGGCCATAGATGAGGTGGAAAAGGCAGGCAGGAACCAGGCCTCTAAGGGCCTGTGAGATGTGCTTCCCATTAGAAAGCCAGAGGGAGGGGGAGGCACAGCAGGGGTGTGGGGGTGCTGGGGTGCCTACAACTGCACAGCAGAGGAAGTACCATGTGCTTGGCAGGGATGGGCAGCCTGCCTCTGAGCTTATGTGGCTTATCAAGAAGGGGGGCTAGTCCCCCCACATCTGCCCAGAGGGAGAGCTGTCACCAACAAGGCAAGGAGTGCTACCACGATTACAGGCCCAGGCCTCCAGGCCCAGAGAAGGGCCCAAGCGCAGCTACCTCAGGGATGGCCAACAGAAGCACAGGTTCACATCGCGGGTGGGGAGCCAGGGTGAGGAGGACGGGGGCAGCCATCCTGAAAACCAAGGTGTATGTCACATGAAACCCAGTGGTTGCCTCGCGGGGTGCTGCTCCTGGAAACTGCTTTCCTGGAGTGCTTGCTCTCAGCATCCCCACAGGCCTGTGAGCTCAGAGGCTGTTTCTGGCCCGGCTCTGTTTTTCTCACCCTGTGGATGGGGCCAGGCTTCCCCAAGGAGGAGCACAGCACAAAGTCTGAGAAGAGGGAGACGGGTCTGACAGGCCAGCAGATGGGGCAGCCCAGGGTGCTCAGCAACTGGGTATCTAAAGATCTCCAAGAAGATGGAAGGGGGTGAGTCTCGAAAAGGCATATTCAGTATTATATACCTTTATGCTATTTATGCTTACAATATGAAAAAATATCTGTAATGTCATGCAAAAATAGGTATGAGATATTGATGTTTATTAGAACAGAGGGGAAAGGAAGGGGCATGGGTTTAAAATGTTCACATCCAGGTACTTCCCCCCCAAGACCCCGTGAGGGCTGCTGGCTCTGGCCAACTACTCAGGGAGCCGCCTGGCGCTTGAGCTTCAGTGCTTGAGACAAGACCTCAAGCTTCATCCCATTGGCTTCCTTGGGAGCCCAGACCTTGAGACCACATGGTCTCACTCCAGGCAGGCTGAGGGTGCTAGGAAAGGACTGAGCCTGTGAGTCCTGGGCCAGCAGGTAAGCAAGGGGTCCAAGAGCTCAGGTGGCACCTGCCGTCAGGGGAGAAGTGTTTAAACTATGCTTTCCTGACATGTTTTTTAATTCTAAGCTCATATAGCTTGTCGGTGTTTGGTTTTGATGGGAATGAAAGGTTTGACCTACATTTGGTAATTGTGTTACCCAGAGGCTGGAATCGTAATCAAAACGCAGACAAGGGGAACTAAGGAACAGTCTAGAAATCAAGGAAGGCAGTGAGGGGAGAGGGAAGAGAAAGACTTGGTCGGGGTTACCAGCTTCATTGGGTTGGAAGCCCTCCCAGATCTCCCCATCGTGTTCAGAGTGAGCCCTGCCTCTGACCCGAGCTGGCCCTGCAGGATGGTTTCGCTGGCCTCGGTCCTCCTCTCGCATTCCTCTCCCTCCCATCACGCCGTTCCAGCCGCTGGCCCTGCTTAGTTCCTCAAGGCCAAGCCCTTGCCTGTCCCGGGGCCTCCGTGTCAGCTGCTCCTTCAGCCTGGAGCTGCAGGGCCCCGGTGACAAAGCAGCGCCAGGATTTCCCCATCTTCCCGTGACTGGACCCTGCTGGTACACTTAAATGTCCCTTTCTCAGACACTGCCCAGACTGAAGGAGCTGCCCAGTCACCCTCTATCACAGCACCTCTTNCTGCTGGTACACTTAAATGTCCCTTTCTCAGACACTGCCCAGACTGAAGGAGCTGCCCAGTCACCCTCTATCACAGCATCTCTTGAATTCTCAGCCGTTTCATTTATTTACTGTCTGTGTCTCCCCACCCCATGAAAATGTAAGTTCTACCAGAGGAGCATTCTCTGCCTTCTTCCCTGCTGTATTCCCAGAATTCAGAAGAGTGCTTGGCCCATAGTAGGTGCTCAATAAATATTTGCTAAAGGAACAAACAGCTACAAGGATGGGTGATAGGTGGAGGGATCGCTGTCTGATACAGAGAAATGTGTCTTGATAAGGCCTCTTTCTGTTGGCACACATGAGAGCGTCAAGCGAACCACATCTGGGCCCTCCTGCATCCTCTCGGGGTCTGGCAGTTAAAGCTGGACATCAGCTCGGGCCGCTAGGATACAGTCCTACTCAGGGACAGTAGGAAGAGGGACAGGATGCATGTTTGGGCAGAACCGAGGGTGTCTTCCTCTGACCTACTACCTGTCAGGCATGGGCGCTTTAGTTTTGCACAAACTCTTACATCTCTCCCCTCCCCTCATATAAGCTCTGTGTTGGGTTCTGGGGACATTNGGTGTCTTCCTCTGACCTATTACCTGTCAGGCATGGGCGCTTTAGTTTTGTACAAACTCTTACATCTCTCCCCTCTCCTCATATAAGCTCTGTGTTGGGTTCTGGGGACATCTGGGGACATGGGCATAGTTCCTGGTCTGGAGGAGCTCTTGGAAGAAGAGACAGCTAATCACGTGATTGCACTATAAAGTCAGTATAATAATAGAGGTGGATAAAGTGCTGCGGGGACTCAGGGGAGGGAGGGCATGTGAGGGAAAGCTTTACACAGGAGGTGACATTTGAGCCATCTCTTCACATACGACTGGGAAAATGCTGCGACCTAGATGGACCTGGGGTAAGGGCATCCCAGCAAAGGGAGCCCCAGGGGTAGTGAGGTATGAACAAGGTAGGGCCTGTGGAAAGAATTGCAAGAAGTGTGGTTTACATATGGAGGCAGGCTGTGGACAGGCAGGAGATGAGGCTGCAGAGTTGGGCAGAGTCCAGATCGTGCCGGGCCTTGTGCTTCGTGCCAGAGAGAACATCAGCCAACCGGGGCAGGAAGGCTACGGCAATGGTCAGCGTGAAAGGTGAGGAAGGGTGGGCCAAAGCTAAAGGGATGATGGACTGAACCTTTAGTAGTGAGATCAGTAGGATCTGAAAGCATCTGAAAGCATCTGAAAGATGCAGGGAGTGGAAGAGAGGATGTCAACTCCTTTTTCTGGCCCACTGGCCTGATTTAGGGGGGAAAGCAGTGCCACCCAAATCTACAAATAGACAAAGTAAAATGGGGTGTCCATGGAAACACCTGTGGCTGGTGCAGGGGAGGGGAGGCCTATAACTGCTCATGGTAGCTGTCCTCAGTGAAGGTTGGATGATTGAATTACGCTCTTGGTCCTTCCCACCAGAGCTCCACAGGGCAGAGCTCTCCCTTAGATCAGTCCTCTCGTGGCACCCCATTAGCATGTATCAGTCCCAAAGGAGGAATTCTGAGATCTGAGCTGGAGGACTCTGCTTGAACAGGGGAAGCTTCTCCTTTCTTCACTTGCCCTGGAAAAAGCAGCTGTGAGGGGAGGTGGGATGGGCCATGTGACCCTCCTGGCCCTTCACATGATCCCCCATGTCTTTATTGTGGCTTCTTCCTTCCTGCCCAGTGTGGTTGCTTGTTGATGGCCTTGCAAGGAAGAGGCTGGAATGTGGCTGACTTGGCATTTCCCAGCCCCACCCTCCTGCACAGCTGGCAGGGCTGGCCCCGACTCCAGATGCAGCTCAGTCGTCTGCTTGGTTTGGCTAGTGCCTCCAGGCCGTCCCACCTCACCTTCTTTAAAACTGCTTGGGACAGCAGAACTGGGCCCAAGATCTTGGCCGGAGCAAGTTTCCTTGTGGTAAATGGGGCTGGCTCTCCAGCTGTGCATTGCAGCCAAGGCCTGGCAGGGCTCAGGCCGCAGAAGCAAAACTGAAAGCACTGCAGAAGGGTGGCACCTGCCACCTTTCGACTTGGGAGAAGGCTCATGGAGGCCAGTCCGGGGCAGCGCTGGCTCTGGTGGGTCTCCTTATCCCTGGAGTCCACAGGACAGCCACCTAAACAGCCCAGGGGCAGGGCATTTTACTGTGTCTTTCCCACCATAGCCAAGGAAACTTGGATGCCCTACATACCTAATGAGCCCTTTTAGTAGAAGTAGAACTTTACTTGTAGGGAGGCCATAGCAGGGACCAGCAAATCAATGTTAAGTGATCTTAGGAGCCATTACACCCTCGAATGTAGCGTCCCCAGCCCCCAGCCCTTGCCTGACCAACTTTGAGTTCCAGCAGTCCTGATCTCCAGTGGGTATTACCTGTGCATGTGTGAGTAAGAGGGTCCAAGTTTGTAAGCCTAGAGCTGGGAGTGCAAGTTGCCAAAGTTTTGAAAGGATATTATCTAGAACGCTACCAGAGTGAGAGATATCAGTAGGATATAGCTTGGAGGTTGGGGTAAATTTGGGGAGTCTAACTATGATGGAAAGGGCTCTAGTCAAGACTGCTTGAGGGATTCTTGGAAACCCTTGGAGAGGCCCTCGTGCCCCACCCCATCCACACTCCCCTGGGAAAACCTTAGCTTCTCCTTGGTTAACAAAGGTGTCCTGTCTTCTCTCACACATGCCTACTGCTGGTTTGACTAAAGCAGGATTCCCAGTAGATCTCAGTCTTAACTAGATCTTGTATGAAGCTTGGTAGGTCTGGGACTTAAGGCTGTTATGAAGCCAAAAACCTGATTTACATAGTTTTAAACCAGGTGCCTTCAGGAGTTTTATGTTTTGTTGGAAATATGGAAACTACCCCCAAATCCTTCTCTATTACTGTCTTTTGTCTCACCCCATCCTCTTCTGGAAGGTTTATGCTTAAACATTTTTCTGGGGTATGGTGAGAGTCTCCTTCTCTCTAAACCAAGGGTTCTTCACCTGACTCTGTGACCTTGGATGAGCTTTAGGGGTTCACTAAACCCCTAAAATCTGCAGAGCTGTATGTTTGTGTGCGTTTTTCTATAGCTTATCTAGGCCTTCAGAAGGGTCCATGATCTCCCAAAGCTAAGAAGTGTTTGCTTTAAATGCGTTTGGAGCTTGGCCTGGACAAAGTGTTGGGTTCCCAGTAGGGCCTCAGCACTGCCAGCTTCCCAGGTAGAGCTGGGCTCTATATTTGAGGCGGGAGCATGAGTTTCTGGAGGTCAAAGAAGTTCCAAGCTGAGAGTCCTACACTAGCTGGGGAGGAAGGAGGAAAGACGCAGGACCCTCAGGCTTCACAGGCAGGCTGTGGGTTGTGTCAGTGTTAGAGAGAGAGAGGCATTGCCTGGCGGGACCTCAGAGGACCTCTCCTGGGCAAGCGTCCTTGGAGCCTCCAGGGGCCTGGTCAGGAGGTGAGCAAGGGGAGGCCAGCAGTCTGAAGTCACGGCTGCTCTGGGCTTGAGGTTCTGGGGCAGTGAGGAGGGCTGGAACATGGCTGTCTGGACAAGGGGAGGGGAGTCAGAAGAAAGGGAGGAGCCAAATGACAGTAACCCTGGGCATGGAAGGGAACTCTTAGGGGTTGTAGAGTGAGGAGAAGAGGGGCTTCCTGCTGCAGACTAACCCAAAGGTAGGTGCAGGGAGCTCCATCAATGGAGGTGCTGAGAGCTGGGCAGGCGGGAGCCCCAAGGAACACATGTTGGAGGCAGCGAGCCTCTCCTGGCAGGGCGTCCAGGCGGGATGACCTCATTCCTTCCCGCCTCAGCGACTGAGGCTTTATTATTCCAGCGTCTAGGTAGACATTACGCTATGCTGAGCCTAAAGGTTAGCTGCCTTTGCCTGGGACTCTCAGGGTCCGCTGGGCAGGGGGGCCTCCCCTAACCCCAGCTGCCTTAGACAGCCTCTGGTGGGAAAAACTGGAACACCTCTCCTGGGGCTCCTCCACATCCGGGGTCCTCCTTCAAGTTTAGGGGCAGGCAGGGTGCTCTTAGGTGGAACTGGCCACAGTCCCCCTGCCTATGAGCATCCTGAGACAATTTCCTGCCGCCCACCTGGTATTCCTTGCAGGGGCAGTCTTGAAAAATGAATGTTGCAGGTAAAATAGAGGAAGCTTGAAGTCACCCAGGTACCATGTACTGGCAGAGACAAAAATCTGAGCTCCGAGTTGAATCACTCCATGCCTGTTCCAAAGACCTCCCGAGCCTGGCCGCCAGGACAGACGGAGCAGATTCCCAGTGAGCCCAGTGCAGCCTGACCCTCCACCTTCCCCAGGTCCTCCCTGCGCGAAACCTGTCAGGATGAGGTCCCGCTGGCAGATCCACTAATTGCGCCGCTTGGAATCAGTCCAGGGTGCCCAGGGGGGCTGCCCAAGACTGCAATCCATTTAATGAGGACTGGGCATTTAGCAGGAGCTTTTTTTTTTCTTCTGGTAATGAAACTTCTTTTTCTCTAAACGTTGAGGTCACTTGGGGGTAGGAAGAGGAGGGAGTTTGCTCGCTTGTTCATGGGGGGGCGGGGTTAGGGATGGTCCCCTCCCTTCTGGAAAACTCAGCAAACCCCAGAGAAGAACCCCAAGGTGTTGGCAAGTGCCTTGAATATTTTTCTTGCCGGGTACAGTTACAGAATGTGCTGGCAGGCCCCGAACCCCTGAGCCGGGATCCGTTTGGAACAGTGAGCCCCTCTGTCCCGCTTCTGATGCGTGTGGTTGTGTAGTCTGTCCCAGTGCCCTGTAGACTAAGTATTTGGATGCACAGAACTCCCAAGCTCAGTCTCAGGCCCCCTACCAAAGGAAAATGGTCCAGGAATTTGAACATGAGGGCCTGGGCCACGTTTACTCAGAGCCCACTCCTGGGGGCAGGAGTCATGCATGGGACTCCTGTGGCTTTGTCCTTCTGGTCAGAGACCTCAATCGCCCTTCTAGAATAGACCCATCACTGGCTTTATAGATTTTAAATATCAACTGGCACCCTGAATCCTTCTGGGAAGAAGATGAGGCATCGGTGAACAAAATGATGGGTGAGCCACGTGTACAGTTACACGTGCAGACAGTCACTGTGTGGCCACCACATGTATGTGGCTGTTAGCCAGTGCTTCTCGGCAGAGCCCCTGTGGGTTCTAGATAACATGTGGCGTCCTGGGCCCACCGTGGGCCTCCTGACTCCAGACTTCTCTGTGGACTCACCTCTAGTGGGCCTGGGACTTGCCAGTTTCAGAGCCTTTGTTTGTGTCCATCCTAACGGCCTTCTCTCAACTCCTACTATATACTTGGTACCCGGCAGTGATAGACCATGGGGACTTCACACTGAATTGTCACTGCCTGGTTTCCTATTTTGGTCTCTGTGTCGCTGAGACAGTGAACAGCTTGAGGCCAGGGGCTACATCTCTCACTCTGGAAGCCTCCGGGACCTGGCCTGGCTCTGGGTATGTGGTGCACACTCGGGGCACCCTTCCCAACAGTCATACTCATTTGAGAGCGCATGTCCACTGTGAAGAGCGCCTTGTCGGCAGGGAGCACTAGGCCAGGAGAAGGACAGTTCAGATCCAATCTGTGGTTTTCTCAGGTGAGTTAAATCCAGCTATTATGTCTGAGCACCCATCTTGTACAAGGACATTCCTGGCTACGGTAGAAGGTGAGGCAGTTTCATGTAATAAGAGTCGCCCACTGGAGTTGAACCATCCAGGCTGGAGACTCAAGTTGGAGAGGATGGCTTGGTTCCACCACGGGCCAAACAGGTCTGGGTAGTCTCCTGCCGGAGGAGCCATTCCTACCTGGCTGCCAGCAGCCGCCACGGGTACCCTGGCGCCGACCTCCGGGAGAGTCTGGTGGAGCTGTTGGTCCCTGCGGCATCCTGAGCCGTGTTCTCTGGGGTCGGGGGTCTGCCTGCGGCCCAGGTTCTCAGAGCCGGATCCCAGCCACACCCTGGAGGAGCGAGTGGTGCACTGGTACTTCAGCCAGCTGGACAGCAACAGCAGCAACGACATCAACAAGCGGGAGATGAAGCCCTTCAAGCGCTACGTGAAGAAGAAAGCCAAGCCCAAGAAGTGCGCCCGGCGATTCACTGACTACTGTGACCTGAACAAGGACAAGGTCATCTCTCTGCCTGAGCTGAAGGGCTGCCTGGGTGTGAGCAAAGAAGGTGAGTGCTCGTCCCTCTGCTCCTGGCTTCCAGTACATGCCCCACCAAGCACAGGGACCAAGGGCTCCCCGTTCGATGGGATCCCAGGCACTCATTTATTCAGCTCTTTCCTGGGAGTTTGTTACGCTTCATGCCAGATGCCTGTACCCTGGAGGAATTGCTGTGGCGTACGCAAACTACTCAGCCACCCTGGGCTTCAATTTCTCCATCTGTAAAATGGGAATAACCATAGCCTCTACCTCTTAGGGCTGTTGTGCCGACTAAGTGGGACAGCGAGTGAGAGCATTTATCATAATGCCTGAGACATTGAGAAAATGCAATAGCATTTCAATATTACTGTCTTCTTCATGAGATTATTGCCTCTGTCAGTAGCACTTATCACACTGCATTGCCCTTTACTGTTCTGTTTCCCCTTGAGGCCATGGGCTGTGCCTTTTCGATCCCTAACCTCCAGCACAGGGCACAGCACCTGGGAGCAATCTGTTAGAACCTTGTCAAAGGAATGAATGTATGGATAAGGGGTCTGCCCCTTGTGGCAGCATCATGCTTTGACACACTTGGAACCTGTGCTCATTTCACAGAGCACAGGCAGAGGCCAGTACTGGAAAGAGACCACCCAGTGTTAGTGTAGACCCCAGGCCTACCCAGCAGCACTCCCACACTGAGCAGGGACGGAATCACAGAGGTCTGCAGCGACTCTGCCTTTGGCCCCCTGCCTGTGCTGATAGTTCTGGTCCACACAGCACACGGGTGTAGGGGAGGCAGAGTGTGGTGACCTCGGGTCCACAGAGCTCAGGGAGGCTCCCCACCTTCTGCCAGAGCTTGCCAGCTGATGCACAGGCCCTGAAGGCAGCCTCTAGCTCCGCCTCTGACTAGTTCTGCAATTTTTGGCAAGTTACTTAAACTCTCTGAGCCTCAGTTTCTCCATGTGTAGAATGGAGCTGATATTATCTACCTCAGAGATTTGGTGTGAAGATTTAACAGGTTGGTGCATGTGAAGAACTTGGCTAGGTCATGGTGAATGTACAAAAGCAAAGGAGTAATAATAGAGGGGCACACCCCCTGGCTGAAAGCAGCTTCCCTCGCCCCTCTGCTCTGGGGAGCAGCAGAGGGCCACTTGGGTAGATGGTTGTAGGGAATGGAGCCCATGCCTTGGTCATCTGGTGTCATGTGGTGCCCTCTGGTGGGCCGAGAGGGGTTTGCATGCCAGATGGGGGGACAGAGGCAGTGGGGGGGAGGATGCAGTGTTTGGGGGTGAATGTAGCTTTCGGTCTGCAGGACTGATTTTTTTGGAAATGACTCCTGAACACAGGTATTTTTGGCAACCAGACTTGTCCCTGGGAGCTAAATTCTCTGTAGCATAAAAAGGCCAGACGCTCTGAGAGCCGGGCCTCTTTCTTAACTGGTCCTTCCCAGTTTATAAAGTACCTTCATCAGGAGTATTGGCACCATCCTGTGAGACAGGCAGGGCGGAGACTAGGTCACCCATTTTTTAAACATGGCAACTTCCCCCTTGAATTGCCCAAGGATGCCGCCTGCTCTGGGTCCAGGCCCATCTTCCCCGCTGCCCTCCTTGGTGGTTAAAGCGAGGTTCTGGAAGCAGAGAGCCAGGTCTGAGTTTGCTTCCCCACGAAAAGCTGTGCCATCGCCAAGCCTCAGTTGCATCATCCTGCTGTGGGGATAATTTCATCATTTTCTGACGATCATATACAATCGCTATGAGGAGTGCGTTGCATGGCTGAGGTGGAAGGGATTCATGCAGTGAGCCTCACAGGGGAGAGCTGGTTGCTGCTGGCTGTCCGTGTTCTTCCGTTTCAGCGTGGTGGGCAGGCTGTGGAGGGCTCCTCTTTACCTGTGTAGGTCTCTGCTCACCACTGGGAGAAGCAGCTGCTGGCTCTGCCACTTCCCACCTGCCTGTCCTTCCACGTTTGCTTCCTCATCTGTAACACTGGATATGCCAGCATCTACCCCGTGCCCACCCTGCCCTGGGTCTCTCCCTCTCAGGTCTTCAGGAAGGTTAGCATAACTGGAGGCACGAGGAGCTGTGGTTGCACAGGGCCAGTGGGTGGGCGTGGACTCTGCAACACTTCATGCTCCTCACGGCCCTTTCTCCATCTCCACGAATTCAGTCGATCCTCAAGGCAGTCCTGTGAGACAGGCAGAAGCAGCATGGCCGTGGTCCTAACTCCCCTTCTGTAGACCAGCCCGGAGGGTGACGGGGCTTGCACAGAGTCACATGACTCCAGGGGTCACAAGGAGCCGGCCCAGCCCTTGGTGTGCTGCCTCCCAGCTCCCCTCGCCTCCTTTAGGAGATGCCCCGCAGAAGCCTCCCTGTGGGGCAGAACGGGTGTTACAGAAGACACCTGGAACCCTGGTTAAGTCACTCAACTGCTCTGAGCCTTGTCAAGTAAAGGGGCTAGACCAGTTGATCATAAAGATTCTCCCGCCTCTGACATTCTGTGACTTGGAGAACCAGGACCCAAGAAGGTTATGCAAGTGCCCATTGGCACCAAAGCCCTTCTTAGCCAATACCTGAGGGATTCCAAGGAGGCACCCGGTGGGAGGCCTGGCCTTGTGGAAAAGGGACTTTGCTTACCGGTGTTGGCTAGCAGTGGGTTCACTCACCAGAAAAGGGCTGCCGCCACCCACAGAGCAGGAAGCTCAGCCACGCAACCCCGGCTCTTTCCCAAGCCCACCCTTCATGCTGGGGCTTAGAGGGAACAGGGACCCAGGGAGAGAAGACGCTCTACCCGTTCTCTGGGTGAAGGCCACTTGAGTGTCATATGTTCCTATTTGTTGCAGGTGGTAGTCTTGGCAGCTTCCCCCAGGGAAAACGAGCAGGCACAAACCCATTCAGTAAGTTGCCTTCTTTCTGGGGTCCGCTCTCTGGGCCCCCTCATGCAGCTTTGGTACTGCAGCGGGAGTGGAGGGATTGGCCAAGGAACCTAGCCTCCCATTAAAAATTTTTTTTTGCTGAGTAGCAAGAGAAAGGTTGGTTAGTGCTGTGAGGATCCCACCATCCCCACCTGTAAACAAGCACCTGCCACTTCTGCTGGCCTCGGGTCGAGAGGCTGGCACCTGGGAGAAATATGGTTTGGGCAGAGAGCACACCCCAGCTCTCTAGAATGCCAAACTTGTTCCAGTTGCCATTGAGATGCCTCCTGGTGGCGAAGGATGGGCTGGTAAGATGTGGGCTTATCTGCAAGTCTAGGCTACCTGTGTCCTGTCCGGCCCCATATCTAGCAGCAGGTGGAAAAGTCTGCTCTTCGGGGGAAATTGACAAAATAGTTGGATTTCTCATAATCTAAACTCTAACTTCTTGTTTATACCTCCCCTTCTCAGTAGGACGCCTCGTCTAAGGAGCAGAAAACCAAAGGGCAGGTGGAGAGACCAGGGAGGCAGGACGGATCATCAGACACCTAACCTTCGACGTTGCCACAGCCCAGCCACGGCCCATATAACATGAGTGGTGCCCACCGTGTTTGCACTTTTAATAACTCTTATTTGCGTGTGTTCTTTTGGTTTCATTTGTAAACACCAGTATCTAATACCACAGTGGGAAAAGGAAAGGGAAGAAAGACTGTTTATTCTCTCTCTTATTGTAAGTTTTTGGATCTGCTACTGACAACTTTTAGGTTTTTTGGGGGGGAGGTGTTGTGGGACTGAGAAGAAAGAGATTTATATACTGTATATAAATATATATGTAAATTGTATAGTTCTTTTGTACAGGTGTTGGCGTTGCTATTTCTTTATTCCCTCTCTCTCCCTGCTCTTTGTTGTGGGAGTTCTGGACACACGGCCCAGCTTCCTAGAACCCAGGACTCAATCCCCAGCCCATCTGCATCTCGTTGGAAACTGACCCATGTGCATGTGGATGGGATTCCTGTGATTATACGCAGACTCCCCCAGTCCTTTCTGGTGGGAGGAGGGCATCGTCTCATGCCATAGCTGTTGTTGGTGGCCTTCTCAAGGGAGCTTGGGTTGGAGGAGAGATGGGAGTTGTCCCTGGAGGGGGTGAAATAGTGAGCTCAGATGCAGTCCTTCCTGTTATCCAGACCTCAGGTGGCCCAGGATCCTTAGGTAGACCAGTATCCTAATGACCCACTGTGCAGGTATCCTCAGAGTATTTGCATTAGGTCATTTCAAACATTTTCACCCACATTTAGCACCTACTCTGTGTAAAACATGAGCAAGAGGAGAAAGACACACAGTGGAGCCTTTTATTTAGATGTCTGATGTTTAAGCAGCGGAAGGAAGAGGGCAGAAAGCGTCCTTGGCAAGTGCTGCACCCACAGGAAGGCTTCTCACCTGCAGACCCCCCAGATGAGGCTTCTGAGACATGGCCCTCTCAGGCCACCGGCTCAGACTGGGTTTTACCTCCACTCTCTCCCACCCCCATCCTCAGTGGTCAGCACAGCCTGAGGGAGGAGTTGGGTCCATCACCTTGTTGGTAACTGAATGGTTTTATTTTTAACCCACATGCTGAGCTTCTTGCTGTTTCCTCAAATGTTTTTAAGGGCCTCCAGGCTCCAGTCCAATTCCAGAGGGACCCTGATCTTGGGCCTGCTACTTCTGCCTCTGTTGGAAGTGCAGGCGCAATAGCCCAGCTACAGGCAAATGCAGGCCTAGCTTTCCCCTGACTTTTTACCAGAGTTCCAGTGGGGGCTGCCTCACCTTCAGGGCAGATGCACAGCTTCCTCTGCCCAGGGGACCATGCCCACTCAGAGCAACAAGCGACACTTAGAGCCTCTTTCCATGAGCAGCCATGGCAGCAGCGAGGGAGGGCGAGTACCCCAGGGCTGGTGCCCTTATCGGATTGCTCTTGGGGATCTGGCCTTACCTCGTATTACATCCTAGTATTCCCATGAGTGCACCCACTTTGCAGGCTGTGTATCCCACCTTGGGCTGGGAAGCTCTGGCACTGCCAGTCGGCCCCCTCAANGACCCCCCAGATGAGGCTTCTGAGACATGGCCCTCTCAGGCCACCGGCTCAGACTGGGTTTTACCTCCACTCTCTCCCACCCCCATCCTCAGTGGTCAGCACAGCCTGAGGGAGGAGTTGGGTCCATCACCTTGTTGGTAACTGAATGGTTTTATTTTTAACCCACATGCTGAGCTTCTTGCTGTTTCCTCAAATGTTTTTAAGGGCCTCCAGGCTCCAGTCCAATTCCAGAGGGACCCTGATCTTGGGCCTGCTACTTCTGCCTCTGTTGGAAGTGCAGGCGCAATAGCCCAGCTACAGGCAAATGCAGGCCTAGCTTTCCCCTGACTTTTTACCAGAGTTCCAGTGGGGGCTGCCTCACCTTCAGGGCAGATGCACAGCTTCCTCTGCCCAGGGGACCATGCCCACTCAGAGCAACAAGCGACACTTAGAGCCTCTTTCCATGAGCAGCCATGGCAGCAGCGAGGGAGGGCGAGTACCCCAGGGCTGGTGCCCTTATCGGATTGCTCTTGGGGATCTGGCCTTACCTCGTATTACATCCTAGTATTCCCATGAGTGCACCCACTTTGCAGGCTGTGTATCCCACCTTGGGCTGGGAAGCTCTGGCACTGCCGGTCGGCCCCCTCAAGGCCCGGCTCGGGAGAGGGCCCCTCAGGGAGGAGCATGGTATTTTTGGGAAGTGATCTGGAGATTCTGGCTGTTCTGGCGAAAGTCCTAGCTTGCGTTGGGGATGACAGGAGGCCCCGTCCCAATCCGGGGAGGTAGAAAAGGAGCCCTCGCCCCTTAACCTGGCCCAGAGAACTCGGTGTGCTGGACCTTCCAGGAGACCCAGTCCCCTGCTCTGCCTGTAGGAGGCGTGGCAACAGGGAAGGCACCTCCTGCAGCAGCCCCACTCTCCCCGGCTGCTGCCTTCTCACGTGTGTAACTGTGTTGTGTGGATTTCCTTTGTGAGGAGGGAGGGACACTATTTGTAGCTTGTTTTATGAAAAATAAAAATGGGTAAACTTTGATGGCTGTTGCCTCTTTCTTTGGGTGGCTTCCTCTGACGGATGGGCTTCATTTCCTAAAAGACTGGGGGCAGGGGATGGGAAGCTGGCAGCACCAACCCCCTTGTAGAAAAAAACAAGAGAGAGCCAGGCTGATCATCTGGTCATTTACTCCCAAGTTCCTGAATGACCCACACAAGGCCACAAGTGTGTCCACCAAGGAGGTTGCTTTTCCAAGGCACCCTGATCTGCCCTGTGGCATAAGGCTTTTCCCCATGGTATAGGTGAGGACAGGCAGAACTTGACCTTTCTCACATAGTGCCACCCAATGACACCCTCAATTCTAGGGCTTGGATCACTGCCCCCCTTCATGTGCCAGGTGGCACCCCAGCCAGGGCAACCCTGATCACACATGATGGTGAAAGGGCACTGGATACTTGGATGTCATCTCTTCACAAGACGATAGGCACATTGCTAAAGGCCTCGTGAGAACCAGTCAGGAGAGACCAGGATACGCTGCAGTAACAAACACTCCACAACCTCAGTAGCTTAAATCACAAAGGTGTCCTTCACTCCTGCAGCATAGCCATCAAATGTCAGCAGGGGCTGCTAGTCTTCACTGTCCTCACTCAGGGACCCAGGCTGAAGGAGGCTCCATCTTCCATGATTGTGGAAGCAAAAAAAAAGCAATATGGTGAACTGCACCGATTCTTAATTGCTGTGGCAGCTTCTCAGGTTAGCTTTGGCTTGCCCACTGTGCAGCTGGTGCCCAAATGCTGGCTCTCAAATGGGACCCATGTCGCGTCCTAGGGAGGGGCCTTCCCACTGCACAGGGCCTTTCTGTGGGAAGTCCAGCTCTGGCTTGACTTCTTCCATACTTTCCCACGCCAAAATATCCCGGCCCACTTCATTCTAGGGACTCTGCCTTTGGTTTCCAACACTGGGTCTCACACATGAGCAGCGTGCATCGGATTCACCTGGAAGGCTTGTTAAACACAATTTGCTGGGACCCATCCCCAGCGGTCTGGAGTCTGGGGTGGAGCTTGAGAATTTGCATTTATAATAAATTCCCAGGTGATGCTGATGTTGCTCATCTGGGGACTATACTTTGAGAATCATTCATTTAGAGTTTGGTTTTTAACATCGAATGGGTCCATGTACACATTCTGGTTGCTGCTAAGAAGCAGTTTTGTGACTCTGGGCAAATCACCTGTCGACCCTGAGTCTCAGTTTCTTCGTCTGTGAAATGGGGATAATGACTCTTTCTCAGACGGTGGCCATGGTGATTCAGTGAGACAACAAGGGTAAAGCACATGGCACAGTGCCTGGTACAAAGTTGGGGCTCAATCTCTGTGAGTCATCCTCCGCCTGCTCTTCCTCTGCATCATCAATGACCTTTGGTGCTGGCAGAGCCTGGAAAATCACCTGCTCCAATATTTGTGCATGAACAATCCAAGACCTCACAAAGTGAAGTGGCCTTCTCCAGATCCAACACCTAGTTTGTGGTAGAGCCAGAATTAGAATCCACTGCTCTTGGCCCTCAGTTTAGTATTCTTGATAGCACCAATTTGGTACAGCTAAAGAGGGGTATGATATACATGAAAAAAAAAAAGTATTATTTGTGGAAGGAGGGTGTCTACTGTGATGGTAGGTAGTGTGTCCTGTCAGTATCTAAAATGTGAGGTGTTTAGGAAGAGGTATAACTTGCTGAGGCAGTGAAATGAGGTGGAACTAGCACAACAAGATGTACATTCCATTGCAAACAAAGGTGTAATGAGGGGCTGGGCTCTGGGGAGATAACTCCTTGAGGAAAAGCTAAGGGTGAGGGGACAACTTAATGTCAGTAGCAAAGCCATGTGGTACAGCAGGGCAGGGAGGGGCACCAGTTTGGCTCTGAGAACTAGTTAGTGGTGGCACCTAGATTAGTCCCCGGTTCCTCTTCTGAACCCTCTTTCCCATTCTCTGTGGTTCATCCCACCTTCTCTTTTGACAAAAACCTAACATCTGAATAACCCAGAAATGACCGCAGATCTTGGGACTTGTCAGCCCCCATAATTGTGTGAGCCAATTCCTTATAATCAATCAATCAATCAATCAATCAATCTCTCTCTCTCTCTCTC